TAGTAACGTATAGGGTTTTCCTTTTCAGGTGTCGATAGTCTCGACTTTCGTGAACCTCACCGGAACGTGTTTGTGCTGGAAAAGTCGGCGTTTATCGCGGATCATTCGCCTTTTGCTGTTCACCGATTCGATTGCTCGGGGACTGCACGCATTGGCGTGCACCGTCGCTTACTATTGTATTCTCTCACCCTAGTGAGTTCCATTACATTTACATTACAAAATCCTATACTGAAGAGAGCCCTTATAGTGGATTCATCTACATAGATTGGATTAGTTCTTTATTTCTTAAGCCTTTAAGTTCGGATTCTTAATCCCAAACTCTGCAAACTACCCTTAAACTGGTAAGTTTTACGACAGAATCCTTTAACAAATTTGTTGCCACGTAAACGATTAAAAAGGTCTATTATTTCTCTATTATTTCGCAGTCACTAATAGAAGAGCAGTTCGTAATAGAAAAACACAACTAATAAAATGCACTAATTTGGTAGCACTACCGTAGCCAATTTCTTGGATTTCTTGAAAAATCGAGAGCATGAGGAGAATGCAAATGTGGAGCCGGAAAAAGATCCAAGCCTCGAGTCAGGACACGAATTGTTAAAATTTCTCGAGGAAGCATGGGGTTCTTGACTAGTTGAAGGGCTCAATTAGGACGTCCTACTAGTTTAGATCATCTACATATATGTTAGGTCCGATCTAGACTGATTCTAGAGCTTACTGACCTTGATCTGATCTTGACTGATCTTGATTCTAGATACGTTCGATCTAGAATCAAGCCGATCACTCTAAATCTAAGTCTGGATCGGACGTCTGATTTAGAGTGATCGGCTTGATTCTAGATTGGACGTTTGACCTTACTTTACTCTAGATCGGACGATCTAGAGTCATCGGACGATCTAGAATCATCGGACGATCTAGAATCATCGGACGATCTAGAATCGTCGGACGATTTAGAATCATCGGACGATTTAGACTCATCGGACGATTTAGACTCATCGGACGATTTAGACTCATCGGACGATTTAGACTTCGATCGGGTCGTTGCTCTTTGTCTCGCGATTTGCCTCGGACGATTTGGCTCTCGGTTTGGGCTATGGACGTTTAGCTCTCGTTTTGCCATCGGACGATTTGCCATCGGACGATTTAGACTCATCGGACGATTTAGACTCATCGGACGATTTAGACTCATCGGACGATCTAGAATCAAGCTGATCACTCTAAATCAGACGTCCGATGATTCTAGATCCTCCGATGATTCTAGATCGTCCGATGATTCTAGATCGTCCTATGATTCTAGATCGTCCGATCTAGAGTAAAGTAAGGTCAAACGTCCAATCTAGAATCAAGCCGATCACTCTAAATCAGACGTCCGATCTAGAATCATTCTAGATCGAACATATACATAACATCTATAGATCATCTACATACACAAAACAAAGTTATTTCAGCTTTCCATCGCTCACCTGTAATGATCTACTCAAGCAGATCAATAGTTTGGGAACAGCGTACATCTTTCAACATTTGACCTTCATCTCGGGTTTCTTGCAAATCGGTATTTCTAGCTTTTCCATGTATTTAGGATAAAATGTTTTCCCAGAACCGGGAAACTTAAAACTTGACAGGCCCTTGAAATTCAAATTCAAATTACCAGGATTACTACAATAGTCGGTTCACTAATACTTTAATTGTATCTAAGTCCATCGAACGTATACTGTAAATAGAGACGATCAAACTTCGGTCCAACATTTTAGCCCTATCATTGAACCGTTTCTTGGCGCTCTCCTTTAATGGTTTCTGGTATCAACGTGTCCAGAAACACGCCTGGCTACAGATCGGTCTCCCGATTGTTATCGGCTATTGTTTGAAAGCATTTCTCACGCAATGGAGTTTGTTTTCTCATCATTGTTTCCCTAATAATCTCCTGTGCAGTTGACGCCCGAATGGTGATCGTAGCAGCGACGATTCCACTCGATTTCATGCTCATTCACAAGATGATGGTAGAGTTTTTTTGGATGGATCCTAGAATTATTGATTCAAGAGAAATATCGTGGACCTCTCACCCAAAAAGGGGCGAAGATAAGGTACAAGATAAGGCATCATCATCTGCACACGATAAGGGAAAAAGGTTTTGCTGAAAATCTAAAATTTGAATCATAAGAATTCTAGTGTGATATCCAGATCAAAGAAAAAAAACGAGAAAATTGTTCTTGTCATTTTTTGGAATAATCGCAAACTTTTAGCAGTTCAACGACAGCTATAAAGACGACTGTTAACCGACTTCAACGACTGTTAACCTTAGCACATATTAAACCAAAAGGCAATCAAAAATTCAGGCTATCAAAACGACTATCAAAACTTTTTTGCTAATATCTATTCATTGCTAATATCGAATTTCTAGATGATTGCTCGACTATTTGGAAGAAAAATAGCGCTTAGGGTTAACCTAAGAAAGGGATTAGCTAAACAATCCAATTCTCGAGGAATTTAGGAATGGTGTGATATCGAAGTAGAGGACGATTTCTAAAATGAATGTTGCAGCGAGAAAAATAGTCGAATACGATCATTCAAATCATATGAAATTTATGCAAGCTGCTCGAGCTGGGATGCGAGCTGCGATGCGAGCTGCTCGAGCTGCGATGCGAGCTATCGAACGTTACATAAAATGATTAGAAAAGCAAAAGAGGATGTGAGGAAAAACGTTTTGCCTCAAAATTCCTCAAAAATTGAGTTCTTGGCTAATAGAAGGGGTAATAATCGTGGCCTATTCTCGCTAAAAAAAATTTTCTAGAAAATTAATTTATTTCGTGTTTATTTGTTAGATTTATTGCTAGAAATGATAAAAATGAATTGGCAAAATTCATTTGAATCCCGAAAGTTCTTGAGCTTTCTTTAGAGATCGCCATCAACATTAACATTAAATAGACACCAAAAATAACTCATAAATAACAAATAACATTAACAAAACAAACAGAAAAACCATAAAATATGTACAAAGGAATAATTTAAACTCTTAATATAACCATACATCAAAAATTACTCATCATCTTTATCAACATCACTCAAGTTCAAAATCTCTCTAAATTTCTCACACATTGCTTCTCACTCATCATCTAGATTTTCATCTCGTAGATTTCCTGGTCCGTTAGATCCGTAGGTCTTCCTTTCCTGGTGCGTTAGGTCCGTTTCTTTTCTTCTTCTTTTTTCTTTCAAGAGCCTCATTCACTTTTTCTCTTCCATCCTTCATCAATTGGACCCATTTTCTGCCTGTGAAAGCACCTTTTGATTTAGAAAAGTATCTGTAGGCACTGCCCATTGAGTTCAGCTTTTCGATTAGCATTGAAAGCAAGGACGGCCAACATTGTCCAATGCATTGGACATTGCAATGTCCAATCCTTGCAGATCACCTGGAAATTTGATATTAGCAATGAACGAATATTAGCAATGAACAGATATTAGCAAGAATCTTTTTCCAGCCTGAATTTTGTTTTCCTTTAGATTTGTTGAGCTGTTGAGCTCTTTATAGCCGTTGTTGGATTGCAAAAAATGAACTGCCGGAAGATTATTCCGAACGGGAGGGGTTCCGTTGTAAGCAGTTTGCCAAAAAGTGGAGCGAAACTCATTTCTGATGACTCCTTGTGGGTTAATTGGGTATGAATAAACATTAATAATGATCAAAATCATTCTTAAACTAAAAAGCAAAAGTATTTTGAGACCAGATTCAAAAGAGGAACTTTCAGCGGATAAAGGTGAACGTGAACAATGCTAGCGAGCGTTTCCTTTTGGCACAGGTGAACATCGTTGGCACCAAACTTCAACTGATAATCAATATCAGATTATCGCGAACACCGTACCGCTAACCGTCATCTATTTGATCAATCCATTTATCTATTGGGCGTTCTTGAAGAGTTGGCCGTTGTGCGCTACTATATTCAATCAAGTTGGCAATTTCCTCGCCTACGCCGGCGGCCAGTGCTTTCAGGGGTTCGTTCTTTGCTTTATAGAGATCTTTATGATTCTAAAGATGCTAGGGATGATCCCGTAGCTGGTAGCTTTGCGTAGCTGAAGTATTGAAAGCTATTTTTACGACTATAGGTCATTTATTCCGAATCTGGTAGACATGGGCACAACAAACTACAAACGTAAACTACAAACGCTTCTAACTGGCTTCAAATCTCCCGGATTTACATGATCTATAGCTCAGAAAATAGAGAATTTCAAGAGCTTTCGAATGAACTAAAGCACACCCAAAAATATTAATGCTAAAGAAAGTTACAGTGGTTTGTAGCCTGAGTCGATCGCTTCGACTACGCGCTGCAAGAGTCAGGCTACAAACCACTGTAACTTTCTTTAGCATTAATATTTTTGGGTGTTCATTCGAAAGCCCTTGAAATTCTCTATTTTTGAGCTATAGATCATGTCGGTCCGGCAGATTTGACGCAAGTTAGAAGCGTTTGTAGCGTTACAGTTCGTCGTTTTTGTAGTTTATAGTGTCTATGTCTAGAATCTGCCTCTTATCAAGGCCGTTGCTTTAACCTTTTATGCTTGATTGAAAAATAAATAAACTATCTTATGTGTTTAAAAGTTTAAACTTTACATTTTGATCTTTTTGATCTTGATTTCTTTACAGAATGGTCACGATTTATTTGGTTCTGAAATCCGAGCAAAGAGATTGTGACTTGCCGCTTCCAAGGGGACGTCGTGCTAATGTTCAAGAATAAAATCGCCAAATTCTTCATTGAACTGCACAAGAAGCCAACAAGCATAAAATACGAAACATAGGCTACAACAGTCTTTCCGACCACGACGCAGCAACCAACCCACCCTTTTCTCCCAAGGCATGTCAAGTCACTTTACTTTTTTACTGCAAACTTCTTTATTCAATGAAAGAACTCAAAATGCGTAAACGTTGGCACAAAGCGGCCTAATTAACGAACAAACCAAACATGATAAAATTTAACGATAACAAACGAGTAAACAACAAAATTCTTGTGACAAGTCATTTAGGCAGCCGAACGATCGGAACGGTCAGTCTCGTTGTAGGCATCTTTGTCGTAGTAATTACCAATATTGTCGAGCAAATGTTTCATAAAGTCAGAGCTGTGCCTAGAATAGAAAATTGTGTGAAGGATTTCGAATTAATTGAGTGACAACACTTTCTAATCTATGAAACGTACTTGACAAAGCTGTAGCGATCACATGCATCGATGAAATCGGAATCACCGTGGATCTTCACGAAGAGACGAAGCAGATACACAACACCGAAATGCCTGATAAAATGTTACAAGAACTCAATAAAATATGACCCACTCAGAAGGCACGAATGGCTTCATCAAATCGTCGTTATCGCCCTTGTTCATCTTCAAAAGTTCATCCCCAAGTCGCTGGACTTGCTGTTTGTCCTGATCAACACAGAGGCACCTGCTAAAAAAGTTATCGTAAAGTATTTGAAAATAAAACACACGTGAACATCGAGTTGAGCAAATGCTCCACCATGTGCGCAAAAGCAGTGAATTCGTGCTTGGTTGTTTTTTCAGTGACCTTCTTCCCATTTACATATTGAACTTCAACCTAAACATTAAATAAAACTAACAAAATTATCAATCCAACCGTCATCTCTTCTTCATCCGAAGCTGCGATCTTGGCACAAAACTCTTGGATGATCTGACGGACGGTGACTTTTGTCGGCATTGCTACGTAGAGTCCCAAGCTTGTCATTTTATCGTAATCCGCACACAAGATGTTTTTAAGTGTTTCTGGGAAATCAAGCCCGAGACTAAATTACCAATTTACTCCTAGCTGAAAAATCTCAAATACTGTTTGTTCCGTTGCGTCTTTCATAGTTGCTTTCTTCTTCGGCGCAAATGGAGTTGCATCGCTTTCGCCACCGTCTGCAGCATGTCGCTTACGCCCTTTGGTTCGAGTCAAATCAAGCCGAGACTAAATTACCGATTTACTCCTAGCTGAAAAATCTCAAATACTGTTTGTTCCGTTGCGTCTTTCATAGTTGCTTTCTTCTTCGGCGCAAATGGAGTTGCATCGCTTTCGCCACCGTCTGCAGCATGTCGCTTACGCCCTTTGGTTCGAGTCTTCAAGCCCTTGATTTGCTTCTAAAAAACTCTAGAACTAAACACCAAAATTAAATTTACCCTTGCAGCTTCCTGAGCTTCTGCAGTAAATGCTTCCCATTTATCCGTCTCGCTTTCCGGAATGACTTGATCCCACTTTGAAGACCAGCTCTAAATTAAAAAGATTATCCAATGCTATTGACAGGTTCATTATCATTTTATGCAAGTACGGATAAACAGGCCTACTCAAATTCCAAAAAAATACTAAATCCCTACATCGTAATGGATCTTGTAATGAGTCTCGCCGTCACTTTCGGTAACACCGATGATCTTGGCCTTGTAGAAACAGCCCTTCCAATCAACCATCACAACGTCACCCTTTCTCCACTTCATTTTTCGAGCGGTTTTCTGAAAGAAAACAATAAGAAATGGTTCGAAGTTAAATGAAACGAAGCATGAAGATCTTTCCAGCAAAAAAGATCGCATTTGTCCCACCCCTAAAAACTTCGAGAGAGATAATTTTTTCCTTTGTACACGGTTTCATATGGCAAGAGTACGGTATGTGGCGACGCAAAAACGTCTGAAATGGTGGGGTACGGTAATAGGTGCGCGAAATAAAAACGTTTTTGGCGTCTATTTAACCCTTTGAGAGTTACGGAATTAGAGTTGAACACTTTACTTTATGGTAATGGGTCTTCTGTTAACACTAGATGCTCAGATTACAAATTTCAAGTAGTAGGGCTTTATAACCCAGTAGATACTGTAGAACTATTGGACTCTAGAAAACTCGAGCAAGATTTACATAAGCCTATTTTCATTCATCACCAAATTTGTGTTGTTTCCTCAAAATTTGCCTTTAAAGCCCAAATAAAAAAGGATTTAAACGCTACTTCAAGTCAGATTTTTATTTTACAACGCGATGACCAACCAGTAAGGATTATTTGATTTTGAAAAAAATTTATAATTTTGTTATCTTCCTTATTATTATTATTTTTTATTCATTTTCTCTTGGTTGTTATTAATTTTTGAACTTTCAGAACCTCACCCGTCTTGGACTCGGCGTTTGGTCGGAAACGAAAAGAAGGGAAAGTGACGCTAGTGAATGATGTGGACGATAAGCCGAATAGTAAGTGTTTTGAGAATTTACGTCAGACCTAATTATACTTGTGAAGGACTCATGAAGAATACTCATCAAGAATACTCATCAGCCACTTTCCTTGCATTAATCTTTGGTTTTTAGTTTTCCGACGCGCCAACCCGAACCAAGGACCCGGCAACAAGGAGCTGCTTGAACGTTACCGGGGTACGATTTTGCTGTTACCTTAAATCAAAAAGATTATAGAATATTGGTTTGTGTATAGTTAAACTTATCAGTATACTTTTTGGATTACCTTTTGGCAAACTGAAGAATGTTCAGTTATTTTTTTAGCTCGGAAGTGGCGCGCTGGTGGCTCTCGTTCGCTGCTACATGCCAATTGCTCAAAAAGTCGTGTCAAGTCGCTCAACAAATCGAAAGATCAGCAATCGAACAACTCGCCCGACAAAAAGTCAAAGTCAAGGGCAATGGAAAAGTCGAAGGAACGACAAGTAAATTTTTGTTTCTAGACTTTGTAAAAAAATAGTTGATGGGTAAACAATCAAATCAAATCAAATTCTCAATGATATTCTAACTTTGCATTTTTTTTAGGTCGCTCTAAGAAGAGCGAGGAGGAGATCAAGGGAGAAACTATCAAAACCGAAGAAAGGGCACGTACTGAGCCTTGAAAAGGAGAAGCATTCGCGTGCAGAACTCCTGCAAACGACGAAGAGGCGCCATCCACGAGAGCCAGCGAAAGGGATTGTTGGTAAGAAATTTTGATTGGCTTATACAAGTGCAGGTTTATTTCAAGCTTTTTAAAATTATTTGAAAAACTTTAAAATTTAGAGCATCGCCGAAAAGATGATGGATCCCACGATCGTTATCTGCGTGAAGACAAAGAAAACTACAACAAAAGGCAACAATCACAAATGGTACTTTTGAAAATTATTCAACATGTTAATGTTTTTTGTTTTAGAGCGGAAATCGATCCGGCCAAAAAAGCAATGCATCTCCGAACAACAATCCCGACAAACGAGATCGTTACAAGTTCAAACCCAAAATGACTGCTGTGGGAAAGTTCAAACATGCGGCTTGTTTTATGTTTTTGTTTTCAATGTTTTATTTTAGGCAGGATCTGGAAGAACGCCGACAACAACGTCTTCTCATGCGAAGAAACGACCATATTTGCATCCAGAATACATGCAGTTTTGTTTGTTTGCTTTAATACACCCTGCTAGTTATTTAAGCTATTACTTTGAACTTTTATGTGATGAATAATGAAGTCACTTTTTAGACAAACAGCACCAAAATTGACGCACAACTCTCCGCCGAAAGCGGAGAAACAGGCAAGTACTATTAAATACATGGGTCATTGTAAGGAATTAAAGATTAGTACAGTTTGACAGATAAAAGTAGTTCTTACAGCTGAACACTCTTTGAATTCTTCATTTAATTTCTTGCTTTAGTCATCACCGGAAGCCGTGACCCCAATATTTGAACCACCAGATACACAACACAAACACAAAAGAGTCGGCGAGAAGGAGCTGAATTTGAAGAAAAAGAAGAAAGTATGCATCTTGCTTCTTGTGTGAACCATTCTTGATTTAGTTATTTATCGAACCGGGCACTCCAATTAATTCACCACATTCTCGATCAAAATGCAAGCCACCCAGAGCGAAGATGCTCGAAATTTCCCCGGATCCAAAAGAAAAGAAGAAACACAGGAAGGCAAAACTTGTTTGTTTTGTAAACCTTGATTTGATTTTCAGAGAGTTAACTATGTGGAGTCGGTGACCGATGCACTGGCTAAGAAAACTGCAGATCAGAGTCCACAATCGTCAAAGAAGAAACCAATGTGCGAATTTAAAAACTTTCTCCAGGAAGAAAGATATTTTTATTTTGTGGGGTCACTTAAAATTTGTTTGAACACATGTTTTAAGATCAAAATTCTTCATTAAGCTTTACAAAAAATTGTTCACATTTTCATTTTATCTTTCCAGAAAAGGCAGGTATTGCATGGGGCCCACACAATCATCGCGTCTCATTTCGTCATCACGTCACCGTCCGAAGGAGAAAGATGGGAAGCAAAAGCGGGTTCTTGAGGTTAATTTGTGGGTCGGACGCTTTTTATTCTGTTTAACTTTAGGAGATCAAGGAGTCGATTCGGCATGCCAAAAAGTCGGAAAAAGACCCAGTTAATGAGGTTTTTGTTCGTTTTATAAATTCCTCTCTGATGCAAGAACACGTGAAGAAACCATCTGCTGGAAAGGTTTTTTGGATTCTAATAGAAGTTGTATTGTTTTATTTAGATCCTAGAACCAAAGAAAGTCAAGCCACGAGTTGGCAGCGCTAATGAAGAAGTAACCGCCACTCCGGTTGGTTAAATTGACAAAAGCAAAAATGTTGTGAAAGTAGCAAGTTGTTGCACGAGGAAGCAAAGAGAATCAAAGCACGAAATTAAGGGAAATTGTAAGCTTTTAGGGGTATCCGGGGTTCAATGAAATGATTTATTTAGCATGAATACTGGCGACAATTCTACCCGCTTGATGAAACGCAGAGCGTGTCGGCACCCCGCGCGCGACAGGACGATTCCCGGGAACAGTTAAAGACGGGATCTACACAGGCATTCTATATATTTTGAATTAGTTTATCTTGAGTTCAATAGACTTTAATTAGTTTGTTCTTTTAGAAAAAGCGCTACATATCTCCGCCACCGCCTCTGCCTCGACCAGAAGAGAAGCTGCGCGTGAACGTTGATGAGGTTCTTCTTTGTTTTGTTACAAAATTAGTAGTCTAATAGGTTGACTTAAAAATTTTTAACAACTAAAAAGTTACCATTAAAGTTGACAATCAAATTTTTGGGATTTAGCTTCTCAACCTTGGTCGAAATCTTGAAAAACACGGAGTGCGACCGGATAAGAAGGTTTGTTTTTAGTGATATCCAGTTGCAATACGTTTTACGGTTAGAAAGCGTTTGGGTGGCTGGCGCTAAACCGAGACAAAGACAAAGAGCAGGGTCGAGAATTTGCGGAAAATGTGGCGATGGCTATCGGGGATCTCGTCATTTCAGAGTGGGTTTTACTGGTGGCTATTTTAGCCTTAAAAAGCATTTTATGTTTTATATTTAGGCAAATGTACAAGGATGTCCTGGAGGAGTTGATCAACTATTCGATTCTCGAGCCCGAAGAGGCCGCTCAACTTTTTGCTACGTTGTCAATTCTAGAGGTGTGGTTTGTCTTTGAGTTTATTTAGCTTAGGGTTTACAATTTGCTCACTGGTCATTTTCTATTTTGGTCTAGTGATCAGGTCTAATTTGTCTTATGTACCATTTTTACCTTTTTCTTTTCAGGATGTTACAATTGGTCGATTCGCATGCCTTCTCCGCTCGGCGGCCGCCTCGTATGCGAAATGAATGCCGGACGAGAAAGACTTCTACAAATGAACCTTTTTCATTTTAAACATGATGTTTGTGATAAAAACTCGTTTTTTAATGAAGGGATTTTACTCAGTGCTCGGATTGTGTCCAATAAACTTTTTCCTTTTTGGAGGCAAGGCGATAGGATTGAAATAAATGGTTAAAATAAAAGATCTCCTATTGAATATTTTGATTTAAAGGTCAATTATTTAACTGTAAAATTTTGTCGTTGGAGGGATCACCAGAGTTTTCTTCATTCTGCTTTTTCAATTGCAAATTTACCCCAGTTTAGCTCATTTTTGGGAAATTTGTGAGACCTAGGAAAAAACGAATCGCAATGAAGGGCATTTAAAAAACGAGGGTCGAAAAAAGGGGAATGGAGAGAATTTGAGTAGATGAAGGAGAAAAGGCGAAGAGATGGGATGTCTGTGTCGGAGCTGAAGTGGTTAGGCAAAGGGGTAACGGGATTCCCGGCGATTTCGAGGGAGGGAAGGGGTCCGAGCCCAGCCCTTTCAGCCCCACCCCCTCCCCCTTGGGCCTTGGACCACCAGTTGACAACTTGTGAATTGCTTATGCTTTTCCTTTCCTTTTATGCTTCATCGCCTCGTCTTTGGCGCTCTTGCTCTCTTTTCCATCTCTTTTCTTATACTTCACCACTTCGAACTTTTCAAGTTCCACTCAATTCTTGACGAGTATCATCATCTATACTTTCATTGAACTACTGGTGATCTTGGTTTACAGCTTTTTTTACTTTGATCCTAATCAGAGATGTTCCAGCCTGTAAGCCAAACCAGGCTCCAGATCCAGTCTTAGATTTTGGCTGATCCAGGGACTTTTTGTAAACTATTAGATTGAGTACTAAGTTTTCACCATTCATTTCATTGTCTAAATGAACAAGTC